CCTGATTGTCTACTCTTCCCATTAAACACAGGACCCTGGAGAGGGGGGCCTTTGCTTCTACTTCCCTCCACTCCTCCCTGCATCCCTCCCCCTTCCCTTCTCCTCACGTAGCCCAGGGCGAGGTCTACAGAGTGTGTTAAAAGGATGATGGATAGTTGGATGGATGGATGGATGGATGGATGGTTGGATGGACGGATGAATCAAGGAGTTGAAAAGCAAGGAGGTCCTCAGAGATCCCTTATCCACGTTCTGACTTTTACAATGAGGAAGCTGAAGTCTAGAGAAGTGGAGTGTATCTTTCATCACTTCCTCTCTTCCAGAATATCTGTTGATTTCTTCTCTTTGACCTATAAACATGTTGAAATGCCCTCCGACCCAACCCAACCCAACCCAAACAAAACAGCTCTTTCCCTCTTCCCTGCACATTTTCCCCGAGCTAGGACTCCCTCTTTCCTTCCTCTGCCAAACTTCTTGAAAGACTTACAAACTCACCCTCTGTACTTCCTCATCTGCCACCCCCAGACCTCTCAGTGTCTGCCTTCCACACGCATCACCACAGCAACTGCTGTGAAGTTGTCACTCACCAGGGACCTTTGGGCCCTGAGCCCTTCCTGGGCCCCAGGCAGTGTTTGGGGCTGTCACCAACTCTTCCTCCTAAAACCCCTGAGGCCCTGCTTGGGGGTGGGGGTGGGGAGGGGTGGGGTTGGGTATGGGTGAGGAGGGGTGGGGAGGGGTGGATCTCTCTTCCTGTATAGAAGAATGCTCTCTTCTGGGAAACTTTAATGGCTTCTCCCTCCCCCAGCATCCTCTGCCACAGTTTCAACCTTGGCCCTTTCGTTGCTCTCATTCTGAACTCAACTATTATTGGGTGCTTTCTGTGTGCCGGGCACCATCCTAGGCTCTTAGGTGTGTCACCCCCGTGTAATCCTGATGCCGACCCTCTGATGTAGGTGTGTTAGTTTAATCTGCACTTTGCAGAGGGAGAAGCCCAGACACAGTGAGGATGAGTAAATCATTCAATGCCACATAGTTGGTAAGTGGTGTCTTTGGGATTCAACTGTGCTCTTGTTATTTGTAAGTCTGTGCTCTTAGCCCAGATCCACACCTTTCTCCTACCTGCCTCACCTACACTCGGGACTCATCTGGGTTCTTACATCTCCCAACTTAATGTTTTCAGAGGTGACCTCCCTCTGAGGCTTCAGACCGGCTCTTCCAAACACATGAGATTTTTTTCTTACATGTCCTTCCAAAATCTCAAAGCCAAACTCCTCAGATCTCTTGCCAGGTGGATCTTACCAGTCCTGTGCTCCAAACCTTGTGGTGGTTCCCCAGTGCCCATTGATCTAGGGGCAAAGTCTTTGCTGCCCTCACAGGCTCACCTGCAATATGGACCCGCCCCCCCACCCCTGTGCCCATCTGCCACGATCTTCTCCTGTTTCCTCCTGCTTCTGACTCTGTTTTCTGAAAGATCTAGTACTCCCTGCAGCTCAGAGAGGACCCTCCCCTGCCTGCCCTTCACTCATGCTCCCCTTGGCCACCAGAAACCCTTTGGATCTAGAAAATAGACTGGCAGGAAATAGACTAAACGTGACTAGTGGTTACTTCCAGATGCACGGGATTCCAAGTGACTTATTTTTACATCTGTTTTCCAAATTTCCTGTAGTATGTTTTACTGTAGAATCAGAAAAGAACTTGTTAAAATAACTTAAAAAAATTCTTATTCATCTACCCCGCCCACTTCCTCTTTCCTCTCTAAACCCCTTCTTGTTTCTTTGTTCACCTGAGTCTTCCCTAAAGGTCATGGGTGGGGCTGCCATGGCCGCTTGGGAGTCAGGTGGCCTCCTGTGTAGTGCGATCCCCCTTGGCTCCGGTGGCCCCCTCCGCCCCATGCCCAGAGTGTACTGGACACGGCAGAAAGGTAGGAGGAACAGAGTTAAGAGAGACACGTTTCCAAGAATATTCATCAAAGGGAGCAGAACATTGAAGACTCATTAACTGCCTACCAGGGGAATCCAAGTTAAATGGCTCCTGGTCGGTCTAGGGGCTTGCCTGTTAGTCTTTAGGAAAAAGGACATGGATTCCAGCTGCCATTATGAGCTAATTTTGAAAATTTGTCATCATTAAATGAAAAATAAAAGTTCCAGAAAACTGTATGTAGTTTGCTCACATTTACATAAAAAAAAGGATAGAATCTCACACACACACACACACACACACACACACACACACACGCACGTGTATGCAGAGGGTATCTCTTGAAGGATGCCCCCCCAAACTGGTAAAGCATTTGTTTCAGGGAAGGGACACAGGGGCCAGGAGAACTGGGTAGAAAGGATCAGGAGTTGGGATCAGTTGTTTCTCTTCGGTTTTAAAAAACTGTTTGCAGGGGCGCCTGGGTGGCTCAGTGGGTTAGAGCCTCTGCTTTCGGCTCGGGTCATGATCCCAGGGTCCGGGGATGGAGCCCTGCTCAGCAGGGAGCCTGCTTCCCTTCCTCTCTCTCTGCCTGCCTCTCTGCCTACCTGTGATCTCTGTCTGTCAAATAAATAAATAAAATCTTAAAAAAAAAAAGAAAAGAAAGAAAGAAAAACACAAGATTAAAAAAAAAACGTGTTTGCACGTACCTTTGACAAAGAAGGACAACTTATGAAACAAGATGAGAATTTTGAGCTCCCCTCGCCGGCCCCTGCATTGAGTAAGTGGGCAGACTATCAGCTTGGTCCCTCTTTCCGTCCTTCCCTCTGAGGGAGCTGGGGAGGGGCGTGGAGAGCAGACACCACCCATCTATAGAGGTAGGGACCGCTTTCAGCACCCGAGTGGAGGGACCAGAACTTCCCCGGAGCTGCTGTGAGCCATGGGTCAGGCACCCAGGCCTGGGGCCAGAAGCAGAGACTCATAATGCCAGGGGACACGTCCAAGGTGCCAGGCACCGTGCTGCCTATCACCTACCCTGTGGGAATGTCTTGTTTCTCACAATTGCATGAAGAGGCTTAGCCCCATTTTACAGATGAGGAAACTGAGGCAGAGAGGGTTTACACCCCCCAAGTCCTGCAGCAGTGCCAGCAGTCCAACCGCAAGCCGGAATGGGGCCCAGGGACCTGCCTCTGCCTGGTAATTCAGGTGACCCACAAGGAAATCCTTCACTGCTTTGGACAGGGTTCCAGGTACTGGGATACCAGGCTGAGGCACGAATACTTCTGACCAGCCGTGGCCCTCTCATAAGCGTTTCCTTTCTGCTGGCTTTTCATGCACGGGGTGGCTGTGGTTGAACGATGTTGGAGAGGGTCTCTGACCCCTGGCACAGGCAACGCAGGGTAGCACCCGCTCCTTCCTTTCCTTCCCTCCCCCCACCAGTAAAGGGGGGCGGGCTGGACTTGACAATGTCTGGGTGCCCTTCCTGTTCTGACGTCCTGTGACCGATTGCCAGCCTGGGTGACGTGGGAGAGGTAAGGGGTTGGAGTGGGTCCGCCCGCTAGGGAGGCGGGGCTGGCTTCATGGGTCTGCTGGTATCCAGATCCCAGTCTTAGCTTCTAAGCAGTGGCATCTCTGACGGCGAGGGCACAAGACGGGGTGTATGGTGCACAGAAATGTTAAAAACAGCAATGAAACCCACCGAAAGCGACACACAGGAATTCTTCACAATGCCAGAGATCGAACGCTGCCCTCGGAGGAGGGGGCTGCTCTTGCCCGAGCACTGCCCCTCGGCCACACTCGGTTACCTGAGTGACTGCCGGGCCGTGCAGAGGAAACAGAGGAAGAAGATGTGGGTACCCTGCTGGGGGCGGCCCCCTGGGATGAGGTCCCCATCCAGTCGCACCAGCTGTGACAAAGAGCCACAAGGGAACGTGGTCTGGGTGACTGCGGAGCTCATTTACCTCGGGCTAAATATAGGTGCCTTTTCTGCAGCCGGTGGGTGACTCAGCGAGCCCCGGGAAAGCTCCCGGGTAGAGAAGACACGAGGCCCGGAGGCCTCGCTTTCCCCCGAGTGCCGGAACTACAGGAAGGCTGATGCACGGGGGCAGAAACTGAGGATATGTTTTGCAACTCCTCCTGGGCGAGCTGAGTTCCTCCCGCTCCCCTCTCCAGACTCTCTGTTCAAAAGCCATGAGACTGCTGTTCCAGGCCCAGTCTTGTGCTCGCTTTCTCCCAAGGGCTTAAAGGGTGAGGAGAGCGAGAGGGGTGTGTGTCTGTGGGTGGGTGTTCATCCCCACCTGGCTGGGGCAGGGGGAGAGAAACAGGCTAGGTAGTGTCTATACAGTGGTCTGCCTTGGCTTTGGACTCCCACCCTTGCCCCCACCCACCTGCCATGAAGCGCAGGGGGGCTGCTGATGCCCTGACCATTGTCTACGATGCTCTGTGCCCAGGGAAACGGTGAGTGCTCCCTTCTTCCCGTCCCAGGCTCTTCAGGACGCAAGCACAGTCCTGGCCTTCTAGATTCATCTCTAGAGGCTCTGCGGAAGCTGAGGAGTGAGGCAGTCCTTTGGAGACTGACGGGCAGCTGTCTGAGCAGACTGGTGGAATGGGAAGAGGCGGGACCAGGCACCAGGAAAGGTTTCTGCCAGTCGCTTGCTGTGCGACCTTGAGCAAGTCCGTTTTCCTCTCTGGTCTCCAGTTTCTCCTCTGTTTATCCACCTATCTAATCTCTTCAACAAATAGGTAGTAAATGCATACGGGATCTGTGCTTTCCATGCTAGACGTGGGAAAATAACCACCATGAAGGATTTCAAAAGTCCAGGGAGTCTCCACAGCTCTCCCTATCGAACACTGGCACTGTTTCTCCATCCCCTGACTCTGCAATGACCTTGTAACTTGCTTTGACTAACAGGATGCTACAAAAGGGACCAGTGACTTTCGATCTCGCCCTCTCGGAGCCCAGCTGCCACTTTGGGGAGGCCTAAGCTAGCTCGCTGGAGTGGTCACATGGGAAGGAAATGGGGTGCCCACACCAAAAGCTTCAGGCAGCTGCCAGTCACGTGCGTGAGGCAGGTGGAACCCCCAGCCTCCAGCCCCCAGCAGACTGACTGCAAACCACGGGCAGCAGAGACAAGCCATCCCAGCCCGGCCTTGCCCAACTCGTCAACCCAGAGAACTGCGAGGCACTGAAGCATTCTAGTTTGAAGCCACTGTTCCAGAGTGTGTGTTATGGAGCAAAAGATAATCAAGGTAATTAACATTCTGACATATGGACCACTGTCTACCTGCCAGGAGCTGCATTAAATGTTTACGTTTGTAATCTTTATTTCTCAGGTCAGCCAGGTGAGGCAGACATTGTTACCTTCATTTACCCTTGACAGAGGAAAGCACTGAGGCACGAGAAAGAGAAGGAACTTGACCAAGATGGCAGAACAAGTGAGCGGTGGAGATGGGGTTGGAGCCCAGGCAGGTCAGGCTTCAGATCCTGCGCTATTAGCCCCAACACTACGCAGAACTGAACAGCTGTGGTTCTTGCCCTCATGGAGTTGACTGTCTACGGGGAGATGGGCAGGAAACACACGGGAAGGAATAAACAAGCACAAAGAGTGGGAAGGAGTGTGAAGAAAGTGGGTGCTATGTTTAGTCCCAGGGAAGCCCTCTCTGGAGCACTTAGGATGGAAGGGGGAGACTCTGCAAGAAATGCAAGTTCCTGGGCCTCATGGACCCGTTGGGGGCCCGGCCACCATCTTTCCTTTTTTTACTTTTTTAAAAATATGCCCCCTGAGTGATTTTTCTCATCAGAGAAATTTGAGAAACATAGCTCAGCGGAATCACCTGAGAAGATTAAAAAATATAGCTGCCCAGCCCCCATCCTGACATTGTGACTCAGCTGGTCTAGAGTGAGCCCAGAAATCAGTAGCTTTAAAAGCTCCTGAGGTGATTCTAATGTGTCGCACGGGATTAGAACTGATTCTAGAAGATTCTGCAAGGTCCCACACTGTTTTTGTATCTCTCTTAGGAGCCACCAGGATTACCTGCTGTGTATTAAACTGTTCTTTTGGTGATTTAATACTGTGGAGGGATGGCCTGAACTGAGCTTGAGGTAAACCTTTGTTCTGAGACTCACCCTCTTGAATGGACCACTCCTCACGGAGCCGCCTGACAGAAAACTTTCCCAGGGCCTCTGTAGGGACTGTCCATAGCTTCCAAGTTCCCTTTAACTTCGATTTGTTTTAAAGTAGTGCATTCCTTTGACTGCTGGGAGAAGTTGTTTACTTCCCACAAACAAATGCCCTTCTTGGAGGCTGGCAAGACAGACCCTTGGTTTTTTGATTGTTTGTTTTTTTTAACGATGTATTTATTTATTTGAGAGAGAGAGAAAGAGAGGGAGCGGGAGGGGCAGAGGAAGAGAGAACCCTCAAGCAGACTCCTGGCCGAGCGTGGAGCCCTGTGTGGGGTCCCATCCCAGGACCCTGAGATCATGACCTGAGCTGACATCAAGAGTTTGACACTTAACCAACTGAGCCACCCAGGTGCCCCAGCAGCCCCTTGGTTTTCTCTCTTTTTCTGAAATCCCAGCTCAGGGACTTCTGGGGCATAGATTCCCCACTGTGAGGAGAATGATGGCATCCACGGTGTGGCAAAGAGAGGAGATGTGTTGGTACACAGACAGTTTCTTGTCTGGTTTCTTACTCTTCTTCCAAATGAGGCAGGAAGACCACTGGGGGTTGCTCCTGCTTGGTTCAGACAGAAGAGTATGAAAGAATCCACCCTTGGCTTGGGGCCTGCCAGGCTCAGGCCTGGAGAAAGTCTGCTGGAGGCTGGAGGGCAGAGAGGGACCGGCAGAGGCCCGGCCCGGTGCAGCCCCTGGGGAGCATGCCGCATGGCTGGGACGAGCGGAGGTGGTGTGCTGACAGCACAGGTGTGAGCTGTGCCACCCAGGAGCCTCGTTTCCTCATTCTGCAGTGTGGGTAGTGCTCGAGGCTGTGGGGGTGGAATGAGAACTCAGAGTTCACAGCAAGGCCTGGGCCCAGGAGATACTCTCCAAAGGGGTTTTCGTTCCTCTTCCTTGGGACAGACCCAGAAATGAACTTGACACTCTTGAGGAAGACAGAGCTTGTTGGGGGAGACCCCAGGAGAGGTACTTTAGGGGCTGGGACAGACCCTGGTGACTGTAGCCCATCCCGGAGGCCACAAATCTCCCAGGAGACTCCAGGAGCTGGGAGGTCCACGCTGCCCGCCTGGCCTCACATTCAGAGGGCTCTCTGGGCAGCTCTGTGGGGCACGGCCTGCACTTATATGGGGCAGTTGGTGGCCCAGAGGAGGGGCTGGCAGAGAGAAGGGGTGAGGCCTGACCTGTGAGGAAAGAATGATGAGAACGAGGCTGTGACTCATTCCCAGGCTCCTGCTCTCAGAAAGAAAGGATCTGCTTGGGGGCGTGCCTGGGAGGGAGCCAGGCCAGAGGGCGCAGTGAACAGGGCACTCCAAGGCCTCGTCACTCAGGGAGAAAGCGTCCTGGGAAGGGGCCAGTTTAAAAACACAACTGCACTGGTGGTCTCTGCCCTCTTCTAACGCATCCTTCCAGCTGGAGGCAGTGGTGGGAGGCCCCACCAGCCAGGTCAGGCAGGATGCATTCCCTGAGCCCTGGGCGGGGGGTGGGGGATGGGGGGTGGGGGTCCTGCTTGGGCCCCAGCCCCCAGGAGGCAGGCAGAGCCAGCGTTTGCCATCATGTTTGGTTCTCTTGACCCAGTACTGTCTTCCCCACCCACCCCCTCCTCACTGAGCCGGCCAGCGGCTGCTACCAGGACAACTTCTTCTATATGGCGCAGATAGTTTTAAGTAGTGTGGAGGTAGGGGTGCCTGGGTTGAGTGACCGACTCTTGGTGTCAGCTCAGGTCGTGATCTCGGGGTCCTGGGGTCAGGCTCCACATCAGCCTCCACGCTCAGCAGGGAGTCCACTTGAGGATTCTCTCTCCCTCTCCCTCTGCTCCTCCCCCCTCTTGTGCACTTGTGCGTGCGCATTGCTGTCTAAAGTCCATCCACCCATCCATCCATCAGTCAATCATTCAGCGGTACTTACGGGCCAGGAGGAGTGGCTCTGGGTGTCAATTTGTATGTGTTAATTTGCATGGAGGTAGGTAGGGCTCTGAGGAGGAAGTGTGGTGAGTAGTAAGGGTGGGGCAGGGAGAGAAGCAAGGGGCCCAAGTCTGACCTTCTGTATCATTAAAATTTTGATTGGAAGTAATACAAAACCCAATGTTTTGCTTAATGCAAACCCAGAACGTATTGGCCTTGGAAAGGAAGTGCAAGGGAGTGGGCTTGGCTTCTGACAAGGCTTTATCGGGAGCTCGAAACAGTTCATCAAGACCTGGTGCTCCCTGTCATCTCTGGGCTCAGCTCTTCTCCAGGTAACAGCCCCAGCAGGGGCAGGTTCCACACCTTGGGGGCAAGACGGCTGCAGAAGCTCCAAGCCTCACACCCTCTCCCCGGGGCAAAGAACCAGTCTGCTTCTCTGAGAGCCTGAAATTCTGGAACTAAGTTTCATTGGCTTTGATAGGCCTGACTTTGGTCATGTGCCCATCCCTTAACCAGTGACAGCCAGGGGGATGGTGTCTACTAAGGGGGCGGGGGCGTGGATCTGTGTGGGACAGGGAGCATAGGGAGCTTGGTTGTGGTGGGGTGGATACAGGTTTTCGCTGGAATCATGCATGACCTGAGTAGAGCCCGTTACTGTAAGTGAGTGAATGGGGTCAGGCTGACAAGGAATGCTGACCCTTTACTCTCTGCAGAGAGAGGGCTTCAGGGAACAGCTGAGAGGTTTCTCTGGAGTCTGGGCTGCAAACTGAAAGAGGGGCCTTCTGCCCATTTTGGCTCAGAGCGCAGAACCACATTGTGCTGGGGAGAACTGAGGGCCTGCCACCTGGGCCAGCTACAGGGGTCATAGCCTTCCAGAGAAGCAGGGACCTCATGGAGTACCCCAGGCTGTGAGAGAGATGAGGTCCCTGCCCCTGCTGCCCAGTACCTAGCAGACAACAAGGAGGTCAGCAGAAGAGATATCCAAGGGACTTGCAGAGATGATGGGGGGTGGGGTGGTAAGGTCCACTGAGGTCCTCAGTGGGAGAAAAGGGCAGCATCCCTGACCCTTCAGTCTGGGGGTGAGAAGATTTGGATGCTGGTCATTGCCAGGCTGTTTGTTAGCTATATGGCCTTGGGCAAGTCCGTCTCTCTTTCTTGGCCTCAGTTTACTCCTCCGTAAAATGGGGAGTTGACGTGGGAATCAGGTGAGCCAGAGCAGATGAAATGGGGAAAGGCTGAAGTGTGCCTATTAACCCTCTTTATCCTGATTCCTGGAGGCCTGGGGGGGGGGCCCGAACATTTGTGCCTGGAGGCGTTCGCATCAGGAGGAAAAGCCGGGAAGAACAAGCCCCACGTGTGCCCAGTGGAAGCTGGTGGCCGCAGAGACCTGGGGGCCAGGCTGCCAGCCAGGGATGTGGGCGGCTCTATGGGCCGCTCCCCTTCTCTGCCACTGAGTCAGAGGAAGGGACTCAGCCTGGGCGTCAGCCCTGCAGGTTCTACCAGTTGCTGGCCAGAGAGGGGAGGGCTGGAGAGAGAAGAAAACACAAACAACCTCCTCCCGTGGGCCTCCCCACAGATGCCAGTCCTCCTCTTCAGCTCTAGAGGAGTGTTCGTGGGCCCCAGCCCACACTTCCTCCTGGCCTCTCCCCAGAGCCCAACAGCAGGGCCCTCTGGGTGGGGAATCGCATGTTTCCCAGAATGCAGCTGGTCACGGGGACCCGGGCCTCTTCCCACCTCTGTGGGTAGCTCCCACCATCCGCTCTCCAAGGCCTGGATTCCCCCCCGTACTCTTCCCAAGCTGCTGTCCATACCAATCACTCCCACTGCCACAGGCTGGCCTGCCAGATTCAGCCCCTTGGAGAAGCGATGGGTGGAAAGATCTCTCTGCCTTGGTTGGCCTTTCAGGCCACCTATGAATCAGCTGGTATTGGAGAGAAACACTTCTTTTCCATATTTGCCCCAGGCTGGGCAGCTTTGCTGTTCTTTACTGAAGAAAGACCATCTGTTTGGCCAGTACTGGAGGCCCCCAGGTGTCTCAGACTCTGTCCATAGGGAATAGTCATTTTGGTGGGAAAGGCATGGGGGGTGGAGTCAGTTAGACTGGATTGTAGCACCTGTGCTGGTCAGTTATGTGATTTGGGACAAGCTAATTTACTTCTCTGAGCCTCAATTTTCTTATCTGAAAACAGTATGGCAATGCCCTGTGGGTTGCTGTGAGGACTAGAGATAAGAAGTGCAAAGCTCCTAGAAGGGGTCAACTGATCAACCTTCCTGTCCTTGCACACCTTATCACATGTTACTTTCCATTCTCGAGCCAGAACGGTCAGCTTGTTTGTTCTGCAATCATGTGTCGAGAGTCTACTTTGCACCGGGAGCAATTACCTGTATCTCCACAGCCCTGAGAAGTTGGTGCCAGGAGCTCATTTGATACAAGAGGCCACTGTGGCTTGGAGAGAGTAGGAGTTGGAAGGCTACCAGGTGATAGAGCCAGGAGTGGATGCTGGGTCTCCAAGAACTTATGGGAACCCCATTCCATGGACTTCCATGGACCGTTGCTCTGCCTGGAATGTACTTCTACCTCGGTCTTGTTCTTTCCATCGCCTCCACGACGCCTTCTGATCAGTGAGGACACTTGTAGTTGCAAGTGATAAGAATTCCATCCCCAACAGGCTTAATTAAAAAAAAAAGGGGAAGGGAAAAAGGAGGGGGAAGGGCAAAGGGGGAGAGAGACAGGCAGAGAAGCAGACTCCTGCTGAGCCTGGAGCCTGACACAGGGCTCGAATCCGGGCTCAATCTCATGACCCTGAGATCATGACCTGAACTGAAATCAAGAGTTGGACACTTAACCCACTGAGCCAACCAGTCACCCCCCAATAATATTCTTTTTAGTCTAGAATCTTAACATGAGACTCACATCAGGTGATTAGTTATCCTCTGTCTTGTCTTTCTCTCATGACAGTGACTTTTTAAAAAAAAATTAATTTTTATTTTTCTTAGAGAGGGAGAGAGTATGAGCAGGGGGAAAGGCAAAGGGAGAGGGAGAGAGAGAATCTTAAGCAGGCTCCACATTCAGTGCAGAGCTCAGCGCCACGCTTGATCTCACAACCTCAAGATCATGACTGAGCCAAAATCAAGAGGTGGATGCTTAATGACTGAACCCCCCAGGTGCCCAATAGTGACATTTTATTAATTTTTTATTTTTTAAAAGATCTTATTGATTTATTTGAGAGAGAGAGAGAGAACTAGCAAGCAGAGCTAGGATTGGGGAGAAGTAGGGATGGGGGCAGAGGGAGAGGGAGAAGCAGGCTTCCTTCTGAGCAGGGAGCCCGATGGGGGGGCTCCATTCCAGGACCCTGGGATCATGACCTGAGCCAAAGGCAGATGCTTAACTGACTGAGCCACCCAGGTGCCCCTCAACAGTGACATTTTAAGGCATCACTGCCAATTGTTTCAGAGACTGTTCTTTACTTTGGATCTGACTGTCTCAGAGTTAGAATCGGATCGAGCATTTCTGGAGGCGAGAATAGTGCATGGGTGATGTTCTCACTGCATCATACCAGGAGGCTTACAATGCCCGTGGGGTCCATTACTGGCAATGCTAAGTTTGCATGGTTGGTGGGATCCACCAGATTTCTCCATTTTAAGTATCTTTTCCTTGGAATTCTCCGGGAACTCTAGGTTGGGAAGTAGCAAACTAGGACCCAGGTGTCTAATGTCCATTTTATGGATGAAGAAATGAAACGTAAATACCTGAAGTAGCCAGATACTCAATGGCAGGACTGAGGCTGGCCAGAACCCAGGTCCTCCTGAGCACCGCCCCCCCCAGCTCAGTGCCCACCCCAGGCCCTGCCTCTGACCCTATCTGCACAGATGCTAAGAAGGGTTCATCCTTGAGCCTTCCTTGGGTGAGGGTCTGTGTGTGGCGTGTTCTCAGCCCAAGAGTCAGTTTCTGACTGGGGGTAGGACTAACACCAAAGTTAGGCTGTGTGAGGAGCCACAGCCATGCTCCACAGACACCAGGCCCCAAACACTGACATGAAGCAACCTCTAGAAGCCATGTAGTTCAACCCCAATCTCCCGAAGAGGAGGCGGGAGCCCCAGAGTCATGAAATGACCTGTCCAAGGGCTCATGAACTCAAAATGCCTTGCTGTGGGTGGGGGTGGTTAGACCCTCTGCCTAGGAAGGTCTCGTGGAAGGGCCGTAGGTGGGGAATGGTCACAGCCCGGTTCCCAGAACCCGAAACGAGGTTTGTTGAGGACACCCGGAGGTGACTGTCACCTGGCCCTGGCTGATATTTGCCAAATTCTGGAGACCAGAGCCCAAACCAGAGTCCCTGGTACTGATGGCACTAACAGGGGAAGAGTCCGGTGAGTCCGGCTTGTCGTTCCCCAGAGGCTGCTCAGCATACTTCCTTCCGGGAGGCCTGGGGCCACATTTTTGTTCTTTGAATTTATTTCCTGTCCCCCCTGCAGACGAGTCCCTCTCCCTTATCCCCTTGGTCCATTCTTTCTCTGAAGGGACACTGCATCATTTGTTGGCCTGTGTCCTCATAGTTGTAAGAACTTATCTGTCAGGTCGTTTCTGACATCTCACAAAGATGGCCTTGTTTCGAGTCTGTTCCCAAATCATTTCGAACCTATAATCCCAATAGCCTCTGGGATTGGACTGTTGCAAAAGATTCATACGATCATTCCACCAAGTATTTGGGGACCACCCGTTAAGTGCCAGGCTCCAGGGACACAATGGTGAGCAAGATGATGAAGGACTCTCATTGGGAAAACCACGTTACCCAATACAGCTTATATACGGGACTGTAGCCAGGGGGTGAGGAGTGGGTGGGGCCTGGGGACCAGTGAGGCCACAGTTGCTCCAAGCCCCTCGGAGGCCTTGGTGGCCAGATTAGGGTGCTGGCACAGGGTTAAAGAGAAGTGAACAGATCTAGGTAGACAATGTCAAGGGGCTTATTGGCAGACTGAGGCAGACACCACATACTACTTAAGGGCACCAGGTCTGGGACTGGACTCACCCACTGTCTAGCAAGGTACGTAGTCTGTCCAGGCCTCAGTTTCCTTGTCTGTAAAATGGTGATGATAACTTTACATCACAGGATAATAGGTTGAGGAGACTGAGCAGATAAAGCCTAGCTTCATGGAAACCAGGTGCTGCTCCTGAGTAGGAATTAGAGGAGGGACGGGGGACTGGGGGTGGGGGGTGTTCTATCCCATTGGGGATTCTGGGTTCTAAGGACCCTGTGTGATGCATCTAACTGGAGATGCTCAGCAGGAGATTGGATGTTGGGTCCCAGGCTCCAGAGGAAAATCTGTGCTGGATTTACCATTTCGTTTAGACTTTTTCTGATTCCTTCTTTTAAATGCAGGCTGTATGGGTCCCAGCCTCCCTGCATGGCTTACAGGCAGTGATGGAGCTGGGGCTAGAACTCAGTCTCCTTTATCAGAAAACCTTCTGCTTCATCAGGCTGTGCCCTCTACTCCAAGAGTCAACAGCTTCTATATATCTTCTGTATATCAACTCTTCCTACTATTGCTACGCTGAGCGTGTACCTGGATTCTCTCCTTTGGACTTTGTGACTCCCTGAGATAGCTATTATTATGGAGGAAAAAGCAGATGGGGGCTTTAGGAAGTTAAGCGTGTTGCCCAGGATCCCGGTGTAAATGGCCAAGGGTCTGCCCAGCTTCCATGCCCACACTTGGAAGCTTATATTCTAGGGCAGCACTGTCCAGTAGAACTTTCCGTGACGACGGAATGTGGAATTTGCACTGTTCAATAGGGAGCCGCAAACGACGTGTGAGATAAGGAACCGAATTTTTTTTTTTAAGATTTTATTTAGTTACTTATTTGACAGACAGAGATCACAAGTAGGCAGAGAGGCAGGCAGAGAGAGAGAGAGGAGGATGCAGGCTCCCTGCTGAGCAGAGAGCCCGATGCGGGGCTCGATCCCAGGATCCTGGGATCATGACCTGAGCTGAAGGCAGAGGCTTTAACCCACTGAGCCACCCAGGCGCCCCAAGGAACTGAATTTTTAATTTTATGCTATTTAAAATAATTTAATAGTCACCTGTGGGTAGTGGCGGCTGCGTTGTACAGCACTATCCTAGTCCTTCCTGAAGGTCAAGAAAGACTTAGAACTTCTCCTCCTGCCTTGTTGCCGTTGAATGGTTCATAGTTAGGGACAGGATCCATCTTGTGCAAAGGGTGGTTTCTGCCTCAGGCTACTGAGCTCCTCAAAATAGTAAGGCATTCTAGCCCTCGAGGGTTAAAGAGATATTTCCTGCTGCCCAGAGGCACCAGATGGGAAAGTTGGATGGTGTGGGAGGTGCGAAGGCCCCTGGTGGCTTCTGCGATGGGGAAGGGAAATGCCCTTTTGTGGCATCCTGGAATGCCAGCCTCTGGGCTGGCATCCCAAGCAACAGGCTGTTGCCTGGGAGACAAGGAGCCCTGAAGACATCCCCTGGGGTGGCCAGTCTGCAGCAGGGACCACCCCTGGGAGATAGTCACTGGAAGCAAAGGGATGGCTGAGGAGAGGACCAAAGCGGGCTGGATGGGGCAGCAGGGGCAGCAGGTGGGGGGCGCTGGGATGGTGCCAGGCTCGGTGCAGATGGCATGACTGAGGGGGAGGGGAGGGATGGCAGTGGCGGATGGCAGGGTGTTGGGGGGGCGCTGCACAGAGAGTGGGGACCCAACAGGCTTGCTCAGAAGCGGTGCCCGTGATCCCTTGTCTATTTAGAAGTAAAGACCCTTCGTGTAAACTAATTGCCTGTGCCCTGCCACCGTCAGCAACAGCCTCATAAACCCGAGGGATTAGAGACCAAGAAGAGGCTTGTTACCGTGGGAGCAGCACCTTCTGTGGCTGCAACAGTGCCACAGTTCCCCTCCTTCCTCAGGATGGTTTTCTAATTACATCTAGCCAGGAGCACCAAGTGTGTTTCCCACTGCATTTCATTTCCGGGCCTGTTGAATGCAGAATTAATTTTTAATCGCCCTGGAGGTGTTGAGTTTAATTACTTAGACTGAAAATGAGAAGGAGTATAAGATTTGGAGGGTAACCTTTTGGGGGTGCTTGTTGGGAATGGGAAGAACACGTATGTTCAGAAGGCTGTGGGGGAGCATGTCTTGGCTGTCCAACAGGCCCGCAGTACTCCCACCTCCACGATAGACAGGGTCAGCAAATGAGGTTTTTGGGAAGTAGACCACAGAGAGATCAGGGCAACTAGAAAAGTGACCCATACAGCAGGCTGTGGCAGGGGACGTGGGGTGTGGAGGGTAGTGTCCACTAGTGGCTTCACAGGCCTGTGGGGGTGGCCTGGTGTTGAATGACGGCAGCGCAGTGACTCCAGCTCTGGGTCACAGGGAGCTGCGTGGCGGGGAGCCACAAAGACTGGACGGTGCCAAAGAGAGTCTTGAGGGCAGGAACCAGGTCTGCAGTGTTTTCTGGGTTCCCTTCCCAGTGTTTCTGTAGCTT